CTATACAGTATTATGGCACGTTGCATAATTGCATAATCTTAACAACGTGCGAAAACACACACAAAAAAGTACCAGTAAACGAAAATGTTCTTTAGAATTGCATCTCATTTTCACTCATCATTTAACACAATGATTTGTGTAATCTTTATATCGCCATTTTTGTAATCTTTATATCATTTAGTACCACTAAATTGTAAATTTCGACATACTAAAACGCTGTTTTCTGACCATCAGAATTCTGTCAAATCTTCCCCCAAAGTCCAGGAAATGGCATTTCAGAGACTCTAAATTTAAAAATTTCCTCGGGTCTCTTCGGCCCTCGCTTCGGCTTGTTTTTAATAAGAATAATGTCAAATGTTTGTCCCAGAATTACTAGAATAAACCCCAACAAAATTTAGAATTTCTAAAATATCTTATTGTACCTCCCCTCCCCTACGCCAATTCAGGGCACTTTGGAGAGCCCCCCTTGTTAACATTCCAGGACTACACCACTAATAGGCCTATAAATTTCATTTAAAGGGCCCTACAGTCATTTTTTAGTCGAAAGCCACCTTAAGTAGGGGACTCCACGGAGATTCGTTTGGCTGTATCTTACATGCAGTATCCATGAGTATGAGTACTTTCGCACACAGAAAACGCATGCATACTGTGTTGCGCATGTCAAGTAGCGACAATAACAAAAAATGTAAACAATACTTACTTGACTAAAAAATTACTGTAGGGCCCCTTTAAAAAAAAAATATTTCCAACCATCAAGTGAGAAAAAAAAAATTTCTTCTATAGGTGTACAAAAAAAAAATATATTGCCTCTTAGCCCCCCCCCCCCCCATCACTTTTCTAATGGTCCGTCCCTTAGTAACAATTGCGCAATTTTTTGCACGCTGACCGTGGCATCTTGTGGCTGTGATCGCAGCTTCGAATTTACGAATGTTTTCCGAACATATTCGGCACAATTTCGGCGGTTTTTATAGTTCAGTGTTTAACTGGATAATTATACTATTGAACAAGGAATATATTTCGGAAGTTTTTCCTGCTTTTAGCACGAAATTATTACGAAAGATATTATTCAAATTGTTTGCTATAGACCTATATTTGCTCAATTTTGCTGTATTTCAAATAAGTAATATATACTTCTTAAAAATGCGTTATGCAGTCTAATACAGTATCCAACAAAGGTGAACCCCGGAAAATCCTAGGTGGGAAAAATCTGACCATGGCTCGAGCCACTTTTGCCACGGTCTGGATCCGCGCCTGAGCATCGAATAATAAAGTGATTGAACGCAGATAAATAGTATTTTCATACCATACAAATAATAGTTCAACCAATATACAGTATATGTCATGTTTCATATAACTAAACATTTCTTCATAGTAACACGCTTGTGATTTACGCAATGCCAAACAGAAAATTTTGTTTTATTTGTTTGACTGTCAGAAAATGTAGCTAGAAAATTCAGACTGATTTACTTCTAAACAGGGTCGTGAAGGCGTACCAGGTAGTACGGGACCCCGTGGACAGTTCGGGTCAGCAGGAAAGAAAGGACGTCTAGGAAAAGGTGGAATTGATGGTCACAAGGTAAACACGTTGTATATATAGTAGCGCTATAACTGGCATATACCTATTTACCACTGTGGACAAATAAACGTCCATTAACAATAATTACATAGGTGATTATTGACAATTCTCCACGCTGATTGGTTGCCGTTGAGGTGATTATAAAGCGATAATCACCTAAGCGTTTTTCAAAATGGCGGCCGAAGCCGTTCTGTCAATTAAATGACGAAGAAATCACCTATGAAATTATACTAAAACAATTTTTCACCTCAGGCTCGATGATTATCGTGATTAAAAACCTCGACTTCGTCTCGGTTTTTATTCACCGATAATCACCTCGCCTTCGGCGAATAATTTTTAATTTGAAACAATATTTGGCAAATTAAATTAAGCTACTTACGTAATTCGTACTACACAACTTTTACCTAAAACTGTCGCATGCAACCTGCTTTCAGTTTGAGTTGTACTGACTACTGTGTAAATCAAACACACAACTCGCTTACGTTGTTGTAGTAGAGTTGTGTTCTTGATTTACACAGAACAACTCAAATTGTGAGCGGGTTGTATGCGACAGTTTTAGGGGAATGTTGTGTGGTGTAAATTAGCCTTTAAAGAAAGTTAATCCTGTTCCAACTGATCAATCATGTTCCAGAATCAAGTTTATTTGTTACATTTATTTTCATTTCCTTTCTACTTTCCACGAATCGTTGAATATAGTTGCTTTGCTTGCATTTCGTTAATAAATAATGGGGAAAAAACCTGATAGATAATTATTTTTCTAGGGTCGTGCTGGTCATCCTGCTAATCGCGGAAAGCGTGGTCGTGTCGGTTTAAGAGGGCAGGAGGGAAGCTCTGGGTTACGAGGAGATACAGGGATTACTGGGGAACATGGTAATCGGGGTGACATGGGACCTAATGGATTGCCTGGTGCCCCAGGTCACGAGGGACCCAGGGGTAAACGCGGAGATAAAGGTTCCATGGTAAGTGAATTTAATATACTATACTATACTATAGTAAATATGTATGTGATCAAATCCGAATATGAGGACTGGACTGGATTAATGGATTTCAATACCGAGCATTACGAGGCAAAACCGAAAACTACAGCTAACTGCATGACATCCCACACCCATATTCATGAGTCATTAATTTTGATCCAATCCTTAGACTGGATCAATACACCAGGTTTCATCATGTGAGGAAAATAAAGTATTAGGCTTCGCTAATTTACTCATGAATAATAAATGAGTTTGAAATATGTATGTTGAGTAGTATTTACAAAGCACGTGCAGTATATAATAAGACTATACAGTATGAATTTACCGGAACCAGGTACTCGGCGTACGTATATAAATATACCGAACAATCCTCCATACGAATTTCTCCATCATCTCTCGGTTCCATAAGTGGCCATGCACGTTGCAAATTTAGGCTGATGAGGGCACTAGAGGAACATTTAAGAGCTTGAAAAAGTGCATTGTGCACAATGTAAAGGCCAAAACACACCGAATTATCGTAGGGCCGTACGCAAGATTTTTTCACCAGGGGGCAGTAATACCTATATGCTGAAATTAAGTACCCAAATGTCAATGCATTGAAAGTCATATCAGTTAGATGCATGCTTTTGGCCGCCCCGTACAAAATGATACATTCTCTTTCACAAGATCATAAGCGCCATTTGGCTTAATAATTTATAATAACGTTATAAAATTAGTAAATAAATTGGGAGGGCAGTTGCCTCTGCTTCCCCCCCCCCCTGCGCACGGCCCTGAATTATTGTCATCATGATCAAGAAATTCCAAAAGATATTCGGCTTCTATAAACGGATAGAAGGCATTCCAGTTTCGTTCCAGGAATTCTTAGCTACTAACAATAATTTATATATGCTTTTAGGGAGACCCAGGTTCAATTGGTGGTCAAGGGAAGGAAGGACCTTTTGGAGTTGCGGTATGTGTACAGTAATTCTTTTTATCTGCTACACTACTGTACGATTTGCGATAATTGAAATATATTTTAAATATTCTCTTTAACAGGGAGGCGAAGGTTCTGAAGGATCACGTGGAGAGAGGGGCGACAAAGTAAGTTGAATGTTACCTGAGAATAAGATTATTTGCAATACACGCTTCCGGAAAGTACGGCATCTTGGCTATCGAGCCTCGTTTTCGTGATTGAAACGTGAAGTTTAATTAATGTCACATACACGAAAACGAGGCTCTGTAGCAGGGTTTTATATTCTTCTATAATCCCCCCCCCCCCTGGGGTGGAGGAAAAGAATCAAAGGGTCTTAGGGCTAGGGAAGAAAATCAAAGAAGAGTAGAACAAATGGAAAGGCAGAGGGAAAAGTAGAGAAAATTTCCGTGGGTAATTCGTGAAAATCAGTGTTTCCACTTTCCAAAATGATTTTTTCTAATTTTTTCCTAATGGAAAGTAACTTAAATAAATATGAAAAGCTTTACTGAGGATTGCAAATTTAGTAAATAATAACTTATAACTAGGTAATTTATAATTTAGGTATTTTATTCTATCTTGGGGAGGGGACAAACATACTATGTCACAGTATTACTATTAGGTACAGGCCTTTGAGGCACATGTCAGTCCTGTTACACCCCGTTAGTAACGACCACCGCCCTAATACCATTACCAAAGTCTGGGTCAGAAAGCGGAAGCAATCAAATATGCAGGCATTTGGTCGATTTCTTTTGGATCTTAACTGGAATGTACTTTCGCAGCTACCCGATTGTCAAAAAATGTGTGACCTGTTTTATGACATTATTCTCATGGGTTTGGATACAATTTTCCCCAAAAAATCTGTTAAACTTCACTGTAGAGACAAAGCGTGGATTACCCCTGAAATCAAACTCCTCATCTCCCAACGACAAAAGGCCTTTGCCTTGGGAAATACAATTGAATACAACAAATTGCGAAATAAAGTAATTCACGTCGTGAAACAGGCAAAGTCTAAATACTTCGAGTCTCAAGTGAATCATCTAAAAAATTCAAAGCCAAGGAAATGGTGGAGTGCTATTAAAAACCTAGCTGGCTTTTCTTTAAAGCCTGCCTTCCATTCTGCAGAGGTGAATGGAACTATCTTGCAGGGACGAGACTTAGCGTTCGCTGTTAATAATGGGTTTTTAGCCGCCACTAAATCGTTACCGCCGCTTTCAATTACTGATAAATTATCTGTGGATATATCTTCAGACCTGCGACCTATATCTCTGACCGCCACGCTCTTAAAGGTTCTTGAATCATTTCCATTTCAATGGATTATGGATACCATTAAGTCTCAGTTGGACCCAAAGCAATTCGGATCGTTAAAAGGCTCTTCTACGATAGACGCATTAATTAGCATGTTCCACTGTTGGTATTCTAACACAGACGGCAATGGCGAGACTGTTCGTGTTTTTCTGCTTGACTTTAGTAAAGCATTCGACAGAATCAACCACAAAATCCTGATAAAAAAGATGCAATTACTAAATATTGATAAATCCTTAATAAACTGGGTTATTGATTTCCTGATGCAAAGAAGACAGAGGGTGAAATTGGGTTCTTCGTTCTCTGATTGGTCCTTGATAAATGGAGGCGTCCCGCAATGTACAATCCTTGGCCCATTACTTTTCCTCATCATGGTCAACGATTTGGCTATTAACCACAAAGATAGATGGAAATATGTTGATGACACTAGTCTCTCCGAAACAATCGGTAAAGGTTGTCAAAGTAACCTGCAATCTGTTATTAATAATATCGATCAATGGTGCACGGAAAATGATATGATGCTTAATCGTTCTAAGTGCAAAGAACTAATTATCTCGTTCGCTAAGGACGTCCCTAATCTTCGACCATTGTTTATTAAAGATCACTGTATGTCCCCAGTTTTATCAGCAAAGGTTCTTGGTCTGTACTTTTCTTCTGATCTTAGTTGGAACTTACATGTTGAACACATAGTATACAAGGCATCAAAGAGACTTTTTTTCTCCGAGTGCTTAAACGCAGCGGTCTTGGAGGGAGTTCTCTAATTCAAGTCTATACCACATGTATACGACCTGTGCTTGAATATGCATGCCAGGTTTGGAACTTAAACTCCCCTGACTATTTAAAGGAAGAAATCGAAAGAATTCAGAAGCGAGCCCTACGAATAATATGTCCTGACCTGTCATACCGCAAAGCCTTGGAAGTTCATGAATTATCGTTGCTCTCTCAAAGACGAAATAATTTATGTAAATCCTATTTTAAGAAACTTCTCAACCCGGAAAATAAATTGAATGAACTTATCCCTAATAAACGCGAGGACTTACGTACTTACAATCTACGTAACGATCAGCATATTAACTTAATTAATTGTAAGACTACAAGATTTAGTAAAAGTTTTATTCCTTCTAGTATCGTATCATATAATGATTCATTTTAATTGTAATATAAATTTTAGTTTTAATATACCGTATATTACTATATGTATTAGTTTTACCATGTATTTTAAATGTCAACTCTGTACAATTCAGCTCTTAGCTGCCATTCAGATTTTGTAATAAATTCAATACAATTCAAAAAAAAAATAATAAATATACGTGCATGGTGGTATCTCAACAAAACGAAACAATCTTGTAGTTATTTCATCATGCAAACATACAAGGAAATTATAAGGTTATTTTTCCCCCTAAACAAACTGAGGTGAAAGAACAATGTCAGAGCGACAATACCAGCTCTCGATACATCACCTTTCATGTAGAAAATGAATATATATGCAGTTTAATAGCTTTCTTACTAAAGCCATGCAGGCCTATTAGATTTGGGCTTATTTACTTACAAACAGTATGATTCCCTAGCATTTCAGTTCCTGCACGCATTCTCTGATATATGTATTGTTGACTTTGAATACTAACATATAAGAAGGGCATTTTCTTATCCCTGCCAGTGAAAGACAATAGGGCACGACTTGCCCCCAATGCGTCCATAGTCTTGAATATATATGTTTAAAAACTGTAGTACATGTTGCTGCCCCAAATTACATATGTTTTCAACACTGATTATATCAATATGTGCATTTCTAGGGTGAAGTTGGTCCTCCAGGATTTCAAGGAAATCGCGGTGATAAAGGCCCAGTGGTAAGATATTCTAATCAATTACTATTTCATTAAACAAGGACGTTAGAAAAATACATTTCGCAACTATATAGTCCGCGTTATAGGCGTGTAAACGTCTGTTATTATTCTTTCTCACTTGTTCAGCAATTGGTTAAACAACGTCGTATTGCTTAATGAATATAAATAGGAATTTATGTGTATGAGTAGGATTTTGCTTTATTTCTTGTGTAGGGAGATAAAGGAATCCTAGGATATCGAGGAGGCCGAGGTGAAGAAGGGGATCAGGTAGACTTTAAGAAAAATTTCCTTTATTGAGTTTATTCAAACTGTGTAGTTCAGACTTGTCCCTTGTCGGAATGGGTACCAAGAGGTCTAGGCTGTAGCTACGAGAGAATAAGGCTAGCTGTGATACAAACAAAATCATGAATATATTTTAAACTTAAACTTTGTTTAAAATATTTTGCTAACCTTGGAGAGTAAACACTTCCAACGTAAATGTATGGTGTATATAACATTATCAGGGAATTTTTTGTGTTGGTATTGTGCACTCAGGTGCATGAATATGATGTTTGTGATGTTACTCTGAGTGTAACGCTCAGTTGGAAGAGCATTGGGCTAGTATTCCAAAGGTCGTAGGTTCGATTCCCACCATGGTCAGGCATATTTTTCACACTGAGAGTAACATCACAAACATTATCAAGAAAGTATTGTAATCATATCGTTTTTTAAGAGAACACAAAACAGCAAAAATAAAAAAGAATTTACCTCATGAGGATTTACTAATGAGGAAATATGTCGTGCGTGACTATTAAATTTATCTGAATATTCCTCAGTGTTTTTTTTACTCTTCTCTCCACTTCGTCTCGTTTTACTTTCTCTCGCCGCGCTCGGAACGGAGACTTTCCTTGGATCATCTCATATATTAGACATCCAAGACCCCACCAGTCTGGGGAAAACGTGTAACGTTCATTACCGAAAGTCTTCCTTTTAACCTTTATCCAGGGAGCAGTTGGTGCTATGGGTCCTGAGGGACCAGCTGGTCAAGAAGGTTTAAGGGTAAGATGAGCATCTACTACATATATGCTGTACATAATGTACTTGCGCATTACCATATTACGTGTCAAAATCAAATCAATTTATTCACACTATTTTAACATATATACATTATTAACTATAAGTAATTCATTTTTTAAGTATATAAAAGAAAATGATAAAATGAACGAAAATATTTAAAACGTGCACGACGGTTAAAGGAGCATCAGCTTTCGAGTTAACCACCGTCTACGTATGAATAAATAACTAAGCGGTTGAATTACATAATTCGTGTACAGTTATGATGCGCGATTAGTAGTTTTTGAACTTTACATAGAGTTTATGCATATTGCCACCTTGATAAAAATAAGCTATGCCAATTTCCAGGGTCAATATGGGGAAGCTGGTATTGATGGTCCAGATGGGGAAACTGGTAAAAAGGTACTGTACATGTAGGTGTTTGAAAGGCATCTTTTCTTTAGCAAACCTGCAATATTTTATGCATGCAGCTTTGTAAATACAAAGAATTTAATTCATTCCCAATTATGATTAATTCAATGGTGTGCTTTTTATGGTGTATGTGCAACTCATTTTTATAACAATAATATCATTGTTTTTCTACGGCAGTGATCTATTTATTCTTGCTCACTCTGCAAAACGTTAATTGGTGGAAGAAACCGAGTACTCTGTGAAATCTCAAGACTTTTGTTCCATACAAGAAAGCTAGTAATCTAGCTAGTGCAGAGGAGCGAGAATAATGAGCCCACAAATCATACTATACTGATGCAGTTTTTAACATGCATTTACAGTAAATAATTGCACGGCTTTAAGATTCATTACTGTACCCTGCAGTAAACCAAGGGTAGTAGAGAATTGTACAATAGCTAACCATACATTTCCTTTATAAATAGGGCGACGACGGTAGTAATGGTCTTCGTGGCCGTCATGGAGAAAAAGGTTTCAAGGTTATGCCAGTTTCTATAAAGTCGCAAAAATTAAATTTCGCAATATATGCAAAAACGACTGATTGGAAATTATATTAACTGCTTCTTATTGGAGGTTGTGTCATATTATTCATATTATTGGACTAGGTTGTGTCATATTATTGTTGTGTCTCATATTAATTCTTCAAATAGCTTTCAAATTTTAATGCTTAAAGTCTCGAGGATCTTAAAATTTAATGCGATAGTAAGTCATTTATTCAAGCAGATTGATTGAGCTTCATGGTGTTTACACCATTTTACTTGCTCATCAATGACCATAGACTTTTTCTAGAATATCATAGGGCATAAATTACAAACCGTTTGAGGACACAGAGATAGACTAAGTCGATACTTAGGTTAACATGCGGATTTGTTGCACAATCTGTGTCTTTTTAACCAATCGGAAAGCTGGTAATTTTGCCCTGATTTTTGTAATAGACAGAGAGAAATTACTTATGCTTGCTGTATCCATGATATGGCTGATGCATTTTAAAATTAAATCAAAGAATAATCACAATTGGCTTTCCAATCTGATACGAATATTGATCTATAAAATTATTTTAGACAAAGAAAGTCAATTGTAAAAGCGGAACCTGAGTGATGGGATCTAAGAGAATGTGTGATACCGCATGTGAGTATTACACCAAAGTAACACGGCCAAAACTTCCTCAAAGCCAATCAGAATTCTGTAATTTCTCCTGCATATAAGTTAGTGGTGCATGGTCATTTTGTTTTATGTAACGAAGCTGAACACCTTGCAATGAGCACCTAAAATTAGGGCAAAATTACATTTTTCTGATTGGTTGAGAGGACAACGGACTGCATGAGCCTTTGTGTAGATATTTTCTTGTACATGTTTATTTTCTCAACATATAAACTGCACGTAATCGACCGTTTCATCAATAGCGACACCATCTTGAAATCGCAATGCATTGTGCTATATTCAGGAAATGCTACTCTTATGCATTGTGCTATACAATGGAAATGCTACTCTTATGTAACACAGACACAATAAAAGGATTGGCAATGGATAGCATTTGAAGAGAGTTTTCAAAGTTATTCATTGTGAAAACATGTGCTGCAGTAACGGTCTGTGTTGCTAGATTATTCAGCTTTTATAGCCTGTGAAATTCATCCTATTCTCAATTTAATGATCATATAACTTTCTCTAACCTGTAATGTAGGGCTCTGATGGTTCCATTGGATTACATGGAAGCAGAGGGAAGAAAGTAAGAGTTATCTCAGTCTGTTAACATTTATGAAGTTGGATATAAAGTTACTGAACCAGGATCATATATACATAGCAACATGGGTCTTCATGGTGCTGGTTCCATAATATTAATATTCAGTTAAAGCAAGCGCCTCTTTTAATGCAATTATAACAATAATATATTAATACAGAGAGGTTAAATCTCTGATATTTAACAGCAGTACTGCAATAGTTCTTTTAGTTTGCATTTAAAATCCTTGTGTTAGAGCAGTTTTCTTCCTTTTTCAAAGGGCAAGAAAGGACGACCTGGCACTCGTGGAAGGAGTGGTCCCAATGGAGAAGATGTAAGATACTAAAAATAAATATTTGGGTTGAACTTCTGTCATTACCTCTTGCTCCTTGTGAGTGACATCGCTCTCTACTTCAGTAATAGTTATATTTTTTCTTTAAGGGAGAAAGTGGAGATGATGGTCACATGGGCTCAGCAGGTCGTGAGGTAATTTAGAGTATACAGAAGTTCTTTTGAAGAAGTACTGTAATCAGACAATTTAGAAGACTGCTTTTGAGTGAATGGTTTACCACGTTATTTATTCTGAGTGTTTTTATGTAAAAATGACGATTTTAGCATGGTATGTATCCAACCTGGTTTTTTGTGCCTCAGTTCTTATATAATGTAAGACATTCAGAGAATCGCTAATGAAAGCACACAACTTTAAATGCTCTTTAACTCTTTGATGCACAAATTCGGTCAGAAAATAAGTAGAAGGTTCTATTTCTCTCACAGGGTGTCCCAGGCCTGCAAGGTATTTCTGGAGTTATTGGACCTAAAGGTGAAGTGGTATGTATGTGGTTCTGAAACATAGTCAACGATTTAAAAAAAATAGTTTAGAGTTCGTTGTTTTCATTTTACACAAGACTGCAATGCACCCTTTTTCTAATGCAAATTTCCTCCACCTCTTCCTGGGAGCAAAAATTGGCACTCGGCAAAACACCTTGCAACGAGCACCTAAAATTAGGGAAAAATTACATTTTTTCTGATTGGTCGAGAGGCCGACGGACTGCATGACATTTTGTGCAGATATTTTCTTATCACAGTACTCGGTCAAATTCATATCCTGGACTGCTTAGGACTGGCGATGATGACTGGCACTAGTCCGAGTAATGACTTTTTCCCCCCAGGAAGGACTGGAAAAAGAAAGAATGAAAATGGCGTGCTCTGATTCAAAGCTATGTTTTGCAGAAATGCGCTCAAAAACTGTAACCCTGCTACCCACCTTGCTGATATTTTAAGGAAATGTCGGCGTAGTAAAAGTGGGCCACGTTTTTACAAAATCAGTTGCAAACTTCTTCACTACATACTAGCCCCATCAATAGGTTCTAAAGTTTGCTTTTTACTTTGTTTAATTGTGTCTGATTAGTATACTCTTTTCGAGAGCGAGTTTGTCCGTGTGGTATATGCAACCTGTGTGAATGCTGCTTCTTGTCCTATGTAGGGTACAGAAGGTTCACAAGGAGAAAAGGGAGGAATTGGTCCAACAGGGTCAACGGTTAGTTCCATTAGGCAGATTTAGAAAGACGACGAGACAAACTTGACGACGCGATCTCAATTACAGCTCAAGATTGAGATCTAAGGAAATTGAAGCTTTTTAAAATAACCTTATACAAACGGCGAAGTTCAGGAAAAACGATCCTGTTTCTGCTTATGAAGCAAATATTATTTAACTCCTCTAACGTCGCAACAAGCATTCACGTTGCTCCACTGACGTGAAAATCTTAGTTTAACGTTGTATTCAGAATGACAACACTGTTGAGAATACCCCTGGTACCACAAATTATTCAAACTTTTTGTTTTGCATGAAGAATTTCTTTGTTTCGGAAGACGCGTCTTTCAGTTCGCGTCGTGTTTTCTAAATTAGTCTATTTACAATGAAATGCGTCAGCTGTTAACAATACAAGGAACAAAAGGCGCAGAACATTCATTCTCTTTAATTTTAAAATTTAAATGATGACATTTTAAATGCATTCATAATCCAATTGGAAAGAATAATAATAATAAAAGCATTTATTTTAACACGATAATTGTACAGCATAGCTGATGTGGTCATGTAACCAACTAAGTAACAAATGGAAAAGACAAGCTAGGCTGCAAATATTGTGAAATAACGTGAATTATAAAATTTATTGAAAAACTATAGTGGGTTATACAACCACAACTTGTTGTCGTGCTTTTTAATATGCTTTTCTTTTTGCGTCTTAGGGAGTGTCTGGTAAAGATGGTGATCCTGGGATTATTGGTCCACAAGGTTTAATGGTTAGTTTTGGCTACTGTGTGCTGCGTGACGTACACGGGTAGTGTTTAAGGGTGATTTATTTATTCAAAACTATATTTTTAATGTTGATCTCTATTCTGGGAGGCGAATATTCATTTGTTTGCATGGTGAATATTAACTTTTATCTCTTATTTTTAGGGCTCACCTGGAGAACGTGGTGAAAGAGGTGGTCGTGGTGTCGCAGGAGTTGAGGTTAAAAGTTCACCTTCAGTTTTTTGTGTCAGTAAATCGGTCATTAGGGCGTAGCACTAATGAAAGCCCAGCCTGGTTTCCAGGCGTTACATATCGACGGTAACCAGACTAATGGAACCTTCTTCCACAATTATTTGAATTTATTATTAAACTTGCAACTTTTACATAAATGACATAAAAATAAAAAAGACGTTAGACGTAAATTATAATTGAGTGGGGAGGACATCCGAGATGGAACTAAAAAGCTTATTTTGAATTTAGACGTAATACATACAAATTCATGTGCATGTATATTTGCATTTAATTTACTTGAATCAAAAGCGACAATCCATTCCAAAAGTTGTGTGTGTGTGTGTGGGGGGGGGGGACGAAGTGAGGAAGTCAAGCAATGGACGTAATTTATTATAGATTCTATCACGAATGTCCAAAAAGTGCGGGGGGGGGCCTTCCCCCCAGGATTGACGCCCTTGACATGAATGCTGAATGAGTTATGTGATGAAAAGGACATTGAACTATTTTGAAGCATTCACATTCAATTAAAAGAGTCGTAGATAAATATATCCATAACTAGACCTACCGGCAGAAGATTTCTTTCAAGAATTGAAAAATTCTAAACCTTAAACTCGTAGTAAAAATTGTCTTAGTTTCGTCGTGAAAATATAATCGAAGACCTTAGGCACTCTTTCTCCTAAGGCAAAGCATTTGAACATTGCATATAAAAACATATCTTTAAAGTTACCCGAAGAGTATTATTTTTCCATGGAAAAATAAACTGACCCATCTGTATTCTGTAGTTTACAAATGTCATGCAGTTGGAGTTCCTTAATCACACTTTCAACTAGCTTTATATCTTTATTAAGGGTGACGCTGGAGATGTGGGAGTACCTGGAAAGGACGGTGCGGATGGAGAACCGGTATGTTACACTGAAATTGAGCATAGTGCAAACACAATACACTGATTCTATTTTATATTGCATGCATGGGTATTCTATGATTGTCAATAATGAACACAGGGGCACACATTAAGGGGGGGGGGGAGTCCGAGTTCTCTTTGAGACTGTGTCAAAAGACAAAGTCGGTCCCGATTTCCTGCTATAAGAGTTATTCAATCCTGTCAGTAAATTTATGTAGACCGACAGGAAGAGGGTTTGGTGGCAATATGTTATAAATATGTCAATATCAACAAAACCTGAGAACTTACAACCCATGCATTTGCATATTTCGGATTCTCTTCCAGACATACACAAACTTTTGCAAAAAATTGTTTCTTTAAACTTTCGTACTGCTTTGTAGGAGGCGAGACCATATTAAAGGGCTGTGAGATCTGCCAGGCGGGATCTGCCTCCATCTCATTTTCGCCAAGACCAACATTTGTAATTATGTTAATGTTCAAAAAAAGTACTAAAATGTTCTACGAAATATACATCGGTAGCCTCAAAATCGTTACCACAAAGAGTGATATTGAGATTATACAAATTACATTTTTCACATCTTTTACGTTTTGTGGGCCTCCACTAAGTTTTTGCTGGTGTTGTTGAAGCTTCTTTCGATATTCCTAAACGATCTTTGATTGATCAATGCAATAAAATGATTTTCCTGCTCTTAAAACTCGGTCTTATCATATAGATGCACTTATATGGTGTTTACTATTTTACTCATAGTCATGTATGTATATAAGGACGGAACATTTGATTTTTTATGGGGGGGGGCGCCTTTTTGAAAGTGCTCGATTTTTTTCTGGCCTCATTGGCTCCGCACGCGATATTTTTTTCCAAAATTTTGTAATATATTGGTTTTACAAACGTGCCGTGCTTGATATTTTTTCATCAGTTGGGGGCATGCTCGATATTTTTTTCGGATTTGCGCCCCTTCCCCATCAAAAATCAAATGGTCCGTCCCTAATGTCGTGCTGTTGCCATTACTATTCAAAAGTAATCGAAACTGAAATATACCTTTTTATTTTACTATAGGGACCGTCAGGTGATGATGGTGCTAGAGGTGTAAACGGAGAAAAGGTATATTCACTTAACTATAGCATCAATACACCAACTCTGTGAATCTCGTTTGTTATACTGTAGCTTCTAATCTTTATTTCGTATATTCAAGGGTGAAAGAGGTCCAGACGGCGTATGTGGACCGGATGGTCATTCTGTAAGTATTTATTTCTGCTATTACAAGTGTGTTGGAGAATTTCTGTATTTTGCGCCACCGTTATTGTGCACAATGGCGGATACTTCGCGAAATAGTCTGAGGTGAATTTGGGTTGTCATCATATTCCTACAATTTTGTTGCTGCAAATTGCATTTTTTAAAACTTAATTTGCTTGTTACACATTTATTTAGCCACCATTCGAAGACCTTCAGAAATTATTGGGGGTAGGCCAGTTGCCCCCTCCCCTCCCCAGTCTCCGCCACTGATTTTACAGCAAAAGATGGTCAACCAGCAGTTATCAGAATGAGAAAATAATGACGTTAAATTTATCACTATGTGCAGTATTTTTGCATTCATAGCAAACCCACTAATTGCAGGAGAGTAGAAGGGAGTCGAATTTTTACCTTCGTCTTAACAAAAATTCTGGACATATTTTAGGGCCTTGCTGGTTTCAAAGGTGCCGGAGGTGGGCGAGGCAATGGTGGTCTCAAGGTAATGTTTTTGAAATAATAGAGGAGCACAGGTGGCAACTCCCAAGAGTTAAGGCTCCTCTCGTAGGTCCAGGGTGGGGAGTTTACCTCAGTTAAGTAACTTACTTGTGCTTGAAAGCTCGTGTAAACCATATTATATTTGCATGTTAGCCGCCAGGCCGTGAGTACTATTTTACCAACAATGCTTCCTAGAGCATAAGGCTCAACTCGATGAACCACATACAGTATACAGAGCTGACTCGCCAGAGACACTTTAGGAAGTTTGAGCACTTCCTTACTCAAAAATATATACCACAAGATGAGTTTCGATGTATATGTTGTATGCTATTGAGTTGCCTGTAGTTGTTCAAACTATACTTTATAATTGATTTCCACATATTTAATAAACTTTATTAATTTGTCGTTCGTTGTTGTGCTTAGAAGGTTAAAATGTGTACATCGTCTTTCTATTAGGGACCTGCTGGGTCAGTTGGAACAACCGGAATGCCGGGTAGCAATGGAAATCTGGTTAGTATCTAGAGTGAGAATTGAACCCTAACCATCACTGACGTCTTGAGGATGTGGTTTAGTGGAGGGGGTGTGGGTGGGGGATCAGGCTGTAGTTAATGTTATTTCTTGCATATTTAGTGTATATAGGACATTAAATTATAGCCGTTATTAACACGTTTATTTTTATAGGGAATGAAGGGGCCCTCTGGTATAATTGGCGAACGTGGTAGTAAAGGGAAAAGGGTAAATTATTATTTTAGCATTCTTATATAGTATTGCTCAATATGTATGCTTTTCTGACTGTCATACAATGATTCTACGACGCATCTATAAGTGTGTTTCACTAATAGGCCATTTCCAAATTACGGTCGAATGGCCACAGACAATAGCATGCGAACGAGGCTTCGTGCCAGATAGCCATGTAATGATGTTTCTATAGCAAATTTACAACTAGAGCGTAATTTGGAAAGTTATCAAAGTATAACTATATGTACTGATCTTGTGTTTGGAAAACACTTGTAATGGTAATATTTAACATCATTAGCTCCCATAAATTTGAATTTGACCGTCATGTGCAGCAGCATGTAAAAGACTGTAAAGCATGTAAAAGAATGTAACCAACCTGCATGTGTATTGAAATATTAATAGAATATTTTTGTGACTGTTTTAAAGGGTGATGCGGGTCAAAAAGGTGACCGAGGTATAGGTGGAAGTGCTGGATCCAAGGTAAGACAACAAATGATATTTCAACCTCGTATCCAGGGTTTCTGCTCTTGTGAGAGCCACAAGGGTACGATCATTTCTTGTTGGTGGCGAAATATTGGGATGCTAAAAAGGTTGCCAACATGTTACCGCATTTCAAATTTCAGTCCTTTAATTTTAAATTGTGTTTGCTTAAATTGCCCCCACCAGTATTGCAATGAATTACCAATAAGGGAATGGGTACGTGCTTCAAATGTTTTAGAATCATCTGGATTTAGAATCATCATTTGTAGCTTAACGTTCCCTAGAAATTGTTTAGAACAACCATCATCATAATTTTTGCAGGGTGAATTGGGTCCAGATGGGGTCCAAGGAGATGCCGGAACAAGCGGTGATAAGGTATGCAAACAATTGTCACATTAATAATCATAGATATTTAGCTTGGCAGTGATTTTGATAAAGTATAAGTTGTAATTGATCGTTGATGCACGTCAATGATAACATCCAGTAGTAACATATTGTTCCTTCTATTGCTTAAATTAAATTAAATTAAATTAAAGTAAACGCAATTTTCAATGTAGTAGTGTTATGTAAAATGATTCGTGCAAGCGTTTTACAGGCGTATATAGTATTAATTATCATCCACCTGTTTCTTGATGTTTAGGGACCTGCTGGAGAACGCGGAAGAGCTGGAGGCCCTGGCCGACGTGGAAAACAGGTAAAATAAACAGAGATCTACATTTGCTTCATCGACAATAAATTACATGTTTAACCGTGATTAATTTAATGATATTATAAATTATATTAATGATATTATTATTGAATATCACTAGGGTGATCGTGGAGATCCTGGTTTGCAGGGTCAAAGTGGGGAGAATGGTAAACCGGTAAAGTTTACGTTATACTGTACATGTATTTATATATAAGCTGGATTATTGCTAACCCTGGGTTAAAATTTAACCCGCCGTTGTAGTTTGTGTGTTTCTGTACGTCTGTTTATTGTAAAACTTTAAAAAAGAAAACACTTAATATTCATGCAGACAAGGTTTTTGAAGAAATATTTCCAAGTTTATAAACTAGTTGTTAAGAAGTTTCCTTTGAATCCAGCTTTGAATAACCGACCCTTGGACAATGAATGGTACATATAGTGTCTAATTACCATCATTTAGCATTGTTTTCTTCAATGTAGGGTGGTATTGGCAAGCTTGGCGTGCAGGGTGAGCGTGGAAATGCTGGAGCTAAGGTACATTTAATTTAACTTGCTAACTTAAGGTGGCTCCCTACAATTTTCTAAAATTTTAAGTATTTTAGGTAACCTTCGTTTTCCACCAAATTTGTATTGAATACATGCACTTAAAACAGGGCAACATGATAATTTCCTGGAAAGTTTTGAAGTCTTGTTCTGTCGATATATGAACAAATTGGAACGGTGTTAGTGTTGCCATGGCAACCATGACGTATTTATCTCTTACACTTTTATTATCTAATTTCACAATCAAAGGTCAATTTTTCTAAAACTTTTTTGACGATTTATGGTTGATATAGGAATAACATACTAAAATTTGAAGGGAGATTTAAAAGGCAGGTTTCGAGATATTCATGATAACGACTACCGAAAATCCGTCTCGTGGAATTTCTTAAATTGTTGATATGTTTTACTGATCATCATGCTTAGCAAATGTGCGCACTTTAAAAAACATTCACTAAAGGAAACGTGAGAAAAAGAACCCTAAAGCACAGAGTAGAGACATACACAGACGTAACTAGTGTACCCACTTTTTTTGTGCGCGTGCTCGGCAAGTTACTAGATGCATGCATCTGATTGGATGATGACCTCAGTGATGACGACTCACTTTAAACCTGCTCAGCACGCGCATTTTTCGCCCGGTCACCTGAAAAAAAATGGGTACATGATAACGTCACAGAATAGGGTACACAGAAGGCCGACTTCTTGGTTTTTCCTATGATTTTCCTATGATTTTGGCGTAACCCGTAATTCGTCATCAAATGCTGACGCCATGGTCCTAGCCAGTGCGCGTTTGAGAGGCATACACCCCCCTGATAATATTCAAAATGGCGGATGTCCAGGGGGGGAATGCCTCTCAAACGCGCACTGGCTAGGACCATGGCGTCAGCATTTTGATGATGAATCATGGCGTGGCAGCGGTTACTCGAGTCGCCCTTCTGTGTGCCTTATTCTGTGATAACGTAATCTTCCGCAGTGTTTACAACGGTCAGTTACGTCTCTGTATGTCTCTACTCTGTGCCTAAAGTCCAGTTGAAGTTGCTGACGTGACAAATACGAATTCAAATACGCGCTTGCTACATAGATTCCTATTTCCGTAGTTTACTGTGTATTGTTGAAAGAAAATTTTTAAAAGTTTTATTATTTATTTTTCGTTTTCCCTTTATTCAGGGTGAAACTGGTGGTCGGGGTTTACCTGGTCTGGCTGGAATGAGGGGTGCGGATGTAAGATTACTTTACTTGTGAAACTTGGATATATTCAATATAGTATTTCCTTGTATTTTACCATGACATAATGTTCAATTTCAATAATTGTTTTTTTCTTATAGGGTTTCCAAGGCGGCCGAGGAGAAGCCGGGAAAACTGGAGGAGAAGGCGTTGTTGTAAGATTTTTGAAAATTATGTTTCTTGTAACTTCTAAAGTATTCCATGCGACTCTAATTTACATAGACCCGTAGAAATCAAGCTATTGTCACAGAATAAAGACATACAGAAGTGTATCTTCTTATTAAAAGTGCGTAAGGGATTTTTTCAGTTCGCCATGTTCTTAGCAAGTGCCCTAAAGAAAGGCAGTCACCCAACCTCGTTCCCAGGGGAAAAGGCCCTGGGAACGAGTTTGGCAGTCACCCCCTGAAAACGTATTGAAAATTTAATATTCCAGGGGGGTGAATGCCTCTCTTTAGGCCACTTGCTAAGAACATGGCCGCCAGCTATTTCGGTAAAAAAGCGCCTTACGGTTTTGTAATGGAAGTTACACTTCTGTATGTCTTTATTCTGTGCTATTGTTGTTAAGCATGTCTATAGCATAGGCCCATAGGCGTATGAGGCCGGGGGGGGGGGAGGAGCTCCCAATTTGGACAGTTTGGACAGAAATAACCAATACGTCGGGAAATTTGTAGTTAAGTGTTGGACAATTTTTCTGTTTCGTTGAAATCGATTTTTATGCCAACAAACAGTATTACGGAGAATAATTGTATTTACATTTTTACTTACATTTTCTGACATACATGTAAGTTCACCATATATATTTCTGACATACCATTCACCATAAATAAATAATTTAATTAGTCATCAGTCTTGCTTTTCTTTAAAGAATATTCCTAATATTTCTCTCAAAATTTCCCTGGGGAGCATGCCTCCGGAACCCCCTAGCCATTATATAGGGCCTCCGGGCCTCGTCGGGCGGACTGTCATCCGCCACCCCCCCCCCCCCCCCTAGGCCCATACGCATATGATTTAGCACAGGATTTTATGCTCCTGGGAATATACTTATTCTAACAATAGCTTGTAATGATTTCTAAAGGTTTTTTGTACACCCTGTATAATTACAAGTTTTACAACAATTGTCAATAATTTCGTAGGGTGGCCCTGGAACATTGGGCGATCAAGGACCAGTTGGTTTGTCTGGTAAGCGGGTAAGTTGAATGCTCCTACTATATCCATCTCTTCTGCCGCCAATCGCCATCCCCGTATCTCCAGCTCCATAATAGAGACATTACGATGTGGGACGGCAACGTGACGACGACGGCTATTCATACAATGAGATTCCTAATATTTAAGGGGGGAAATGAATAACTAATGTCTCACGGGAGTTTGAGACGCCCAGTTGACAACGGGAAATTACAGACTTTTACGTCTTGGATAAAACGCCTGCATTTCAAGACGCGAGAAGTGATACTCAGCAAATTAGCTCAGTACTACAGCCACTATTTTAAGCTAACCAAGCAATATTAAGTTGATACGATCAATAATATTATTGTCTACAAACTTTCTTTACAATAATTTATTTGAATGATTTATTCTGGCCGTTGCGTTGCCGTTGTACATCGTAAGGTCTCTAATGTGTCTGTCCTACTTCTCATCTCGTCCCAGCCTTGCTTCCTTCACCTTCTCTGTATGTCTCGACACATTAGTACATCACGAATGCAGCTTTGTTTTAATGTCTTTGTTCATATTGTTTTATTTCAGGGTGACCAAGGAGCAACTGGGGATCAAGGTGTTCGCGGGAAAGATGGTCGTAAGGTATGTTGTGCAATATATCCTCTAGGGAAGCACTGGATCGAAACAACATTTTAGGTTCAACAGGAGTTCTTCGAAATAAAGAGGTCACATAATCCACCTTTCAAAACGAAAGAAATGGCATTGGAGAATGTACATTATTTGTACATTTTTAAGAACATGACCCTACAGGCTACAGCTCTCGTACCACTCAGTCGTAATATTTATTGCCAACACACAATAAATAATTAATATAATTAATAATATTAAATTTATTATTAATAAATATTTATTGCCAACACACAATAAATCGCAACTAAGCCGCGACCGCAACCATCTTGTGAGCTCACTTTTGTGAGGTATCCTATTCCAACGCAATAAAATGATATATCAAATAAATATATAAATTATGGATATATACAGTTAGATATCCATTATCCAGGTTTTAAAACAAGGTTGTGCGCTAAGATCATGGTGATTTAAATAGTCAACTCAGCAATTCCTGCAATGACTAAACAGTTTTATCTATTTTACGCGAATGACTGTTCTTGTTTCAACAGGGATTTCTAGGTCCTGTAGGATACATTGGTGATCGTGGACAGCCAGGGCCTCCGGTAAGTAGAGAAAAGAATGAAATTTTACTCTTTGGTCTTAGTATGAATAATGCAAAACTTCCAATCCTGGTAAAAAATACTCCGCACTCTTTACTTAGCAATGTGTCTGTGTAATAACATATAATTTAACACAGAATGGTTAGCCCCCGCTCCTTTACGATGTTGGCTACACATTAACAATAATAATCTGACAAAAGTCAACATTGAAATTGGAGGAGGGAGGAAGAAGGGGGAGTTATAGTAACTTAAACTCGGAAAACCAAATTTGTTATTTACAAGCACAGTGGGCCAAGGTTTGGACCAGGATTGTGTGACAGCCTAGTTGGAACACTCGTCAAACCTTCATTTTGTTAATCAGGAGGTTGAAATGACCCGTGTAACAATGTGTTGCTGGCTGCATCCTATGCTGCCCACCCATGTGTGACTCTAACTCTCATTCTCCTCCGGATTAGAGTTTGGATTAGGATTAGGTTTATATTTGGATAAGTTTAGGATTACGTTTAGGTTTAGGATTATAGGGTTGGGATTAGGATTATAAGAATGGGAAATAGTTTAATATGGAAATTGTTTCCGTTTTTCTCCACACAGGGTGAATTGGGTCCACCTGGCAAGCAGGGAGATATTGGTGCACAAGCAGGACCAGTAAGTAAACTGACAGTGAAGTAAGGCTACGTTCACACGAATTCGTCCGGTTCCACTTCTTCACTCTCCGTACTGTGCTCTAATTTGCCGCTTTCATACGTCACGTGTGGACGAAATAAAATTTGGGTACGGTTCTAAATTTATCCGATCTCGAACGAAGCCTGTAAACGAAACCTGTGAACGAAGCTTGTGCATGAAGGAAAATTATAAACGAAGCCAGTAAACAAATCCTGTAACCGAACCTTATGAACGAAGCCAGTAAACAAATCCTGTAACCGAAACTTATGAACGAAGCTTGCGTGAAAACGAAGTTCGTGAACGAAGCTTGTGAACGAAGCTTGTAAACGAAGCCTGTAAATGAAACTTGTGAACGAAGTCTGCGTGAAAACAAAGTCTGTAAAAGAAGCTTGTAAACGAAGCCTGTAAAAACGAAGTCTGTGAATGACGCCTAAGTTATAAAGCAACGGAAAAAGAAAAACGCTCGAAGATTAGTTCAATAGGCAAATATATATAATTATATACCATTTTCTTTTACAAAATCTTTACTTTATATCTTAGTCCTCTTTGGGAATATTGTTAGAATGTTTTATGCACGTAGTTTACTGTCAACGACTTTGTTTCACATTTGAATTTTCTAACACCAACGTTTCTTCGTGTTAAAGGGTGCTCCTGGCCCTACTGGTGAGCCAGGAACTCAAGGCAAACCTGGACCCAGGGTAAGTCTAATGTATACAGTATATTAAATCCGGAAATACCTTGATGATTTGACCACTGAGTTTAAATCTAGGATCGATTAAATGCAATTTTCCGTATTGTATCATGAAGTTCCGTAGTGAGTAAATATAACTATGATATAACGAACTGAAACGGCTGTACGTTAACACTAAGTGTAATTTTAACTTTTAAGCTACTTAAAATCTGGGAGAAAGTGTAGCACTCCTCAGCAAGTAAATGTGCTTTGAGAGAATTTCTTTGCATAAAATCAATTACAACAGATGTGTTTCTTAATAATGTACTCTCATCAATTTTAAGCTTGTGTACATTGTGTCAAATGGATGAAAGGTTGCTACTCGTGGTAAATGGAGAAAATTTTCATATAAACTATCGCTTGCCAACTCTCTTCTTCATTTGAGCATGTCTTTCCTCAAGCTGACCAGTAGCCTGCCCGCAGGTGACCAGGCGATCGCACGCCTGGCAATTCCAGTAGTGGTATCTAGCACTTCCAACAACTTATTAGGCATATAAAATGAGCCGGATCCCGACCCAATCCATTCTATCGATACAAATATTTTACCAGCTTACAATGTGTGGATGGATCACGTAACACAAAGTAACTCAAATTGTGCTCTTTATTACAGGGCAACTTTGGATTAACCGGACCGACCGGCCCTGTTGGTCCACCTGGTGCCACGGTAAGACTTACATTATTGTACCTGCACTTGTCCACTTGGATAAATTTGCAATTGTTTTATGTCATATACGTATGAGGCTTTTAATGCTCTTGCATGTATTATAGGGAAAAGATGGCAATGCAGGGAAGAACGGAAAAGATGGTCAAACAGGAAATCAGGTATTAGGAATTTAACTAAATTGTATAAAAGAAGAATACTATAATAAGTTCTTTGTAGGATTGCATGGCGATAAAACATATAATACTTTTTGTTTGTGGAAACACCACGTAAATTTATTACTGCCAAGCTTTCGATCCGTAAGCCTCTTCATCAGTGCTAATAATATGTGCTAATAATATGTGCAAATAATATGCACTAATGAAAATCTGGGCGTATACGGATCGAAATCTTTGCAGTAATAAATTTACGTGGTGTTTCCACAAACAAAAAGTAGCCTAAGAATGCCATACCTATACTTACTAAGTTATTTAATAATTTTCCATGCGGAGTTATGAGCAGCTCAGACTTTTCTGTTAACTTTGTAAAATATTTGGGGTTACCAATGAAAAATGTTTTGCTAATATCTAAAATATATTTATAGGGTAAAGAAGGACCGAAAGGAATTCGCGGAGGGCCTGGATCGACAGGAAAATCCGTATGTGAACACTAAATAGAAGCTAATGTATTGTATTGTCTCTAATTCGTGCATGCTCAACATTTAACTGTTACAAATAATGCTGAAGAAATTAAGTAAGGATAAAAATGTGCTATAAATATCAATGTGCGATTTTTCGACTTTGCAACTATCAATCGTTTGTGCGTTGACAATGACGCACAAGAGCAGGTTTAAAAATTTTCACATTTCCTTTCATATCGATTCTACATGATGTGATAATTTTGAGTTGAATTTTATTTTCACACTGAGTCTTTCTTCGTGACTCTCATATATTTTCTTTTCTTTACCAATCGACCAGGGAAAAAGCGGACTGCCTGGAAATTCTGGTGATGCAGGAGTCTCTGGATCTCGGGTAATTATTTACGTTCGACAGCACGGCACAGTGGCGTAGGAAGCATCAAAAGATTGGGGGTCACCGGCTTCCATGTTGGTGAGGGGGGGGGACGGACGGGAGAAACATTTTCCGGTCATACCACATTTCATGCGCAATATAATACATTTTCTTACATTTTCGAATTCCAAACATTCAATACGTTTTTGACCAAATGTTTTTTAAAAACATCGAAATTTCCTCACAAGAAGGGCACCTTCGATGATAATAAAGGGCACTTTTCATCACAAAAAAGGGCACTATGAACAAATTTGGGGGGTGGGTTTCGTATCGCCTGCGCCCCCCGGTTCCTACGCCCTGGCACGGTATGATTATAAGGTTTTGAGAGCTAAATATATTTTGAGTGCACTTTAATGATGGCTGTATCTCGTTGGAAATTTAGATAGAATTCGTCCAATGACTAATCTGGATTGGTTATCCAAGTTAAATAGTCTGCATTGTGTTGTAGGGTGAAACTGGAGATCTTGGTGCTCCTGGACAACCTGCAGAAAATGGTGTGGGTGGGACAACTGGACCCAAGGGAAGAGAGGGGCCACCGGGAGAATATGGATTGCACGTAAGGAATACTTGATGTTACTTTGGACTAATTGAAGGGCATTTGCTTATTTCCACAGTAGGATTATTTTTGATGGTACTATCTACCTTTTTCTACGCTCTTTATAGGTCACTAAAATTCTGATCAGTCATTAAAAGTAAAATAATCCAGTTTGGTTGATTTCATGACCGTGATTAATTAGTCTTGATCTGCATGCGTCTCTACATTAACGAATAAATAAATAAATAAATAAATAAATAAACGGAAATAAGTTCTAAAATTTTAACACTAACGTCAGCATGTTCTAGCAAATCGTGTTTAAAATGCTCAAATATTATGCAAATTACATTGAGACTACTTGAATCGATTGTGTGTCTTATATTTTTCACACTCGGTCCGCTCTCATTACCTGCAATCGATCAGTTAGTAAATAAGACTCCATTGTTTTAAATGTTTAGGGACAAGCAGGCAGTAAAGGTTTCAAAGGAGATCCTGGGAACGAAGGAACGAAGGTACGCGAAGGACTGACATTATTATACATGATCTGCATTTTTAAAAATCTTCTATCTTTACAATGACATTGTTCTAATCACAGGCGGCCCAGACGTGGGTAGAGTCGTATGTATTAGTATCAGTATATAGTAAATATATAAATATTATAGTATACAAATAATGAATGTTTCTTCGTGCAATGGTAAGAATATTTTCATGAGGTGAAAGATGGAATGTTCCATTCAACGAGGCGACAGCCGAGTTGAATGGAACATTCCATCTTTCACCGAATGAAAATATTCTTACCATTGCACGAAGAAACATTCATTATTTGTTTTATATAATACCAAAAGTCCAGAACAGACTAATAGATTCGTATGAGAAGCATTTTGAGGGATGCGATTTATCGAAAACACAAAGAGTGCAATTGTACTATACGTTTTATTCCATTCGCGGAGAGTGCAATGGAACGTGTTCCATTGCACTCTTGGGAAATGGAATTTTCTATTCAATATCACGTGACCATAAACAGCCAATTAAACGATTAGAATTTAATAAGGTATTATATAAAATATACTATACAGTAAAATTTGTAATGAATTTTATATTTTAAAATTATATTTACTTGCCTAATTTGATTGTATGTGATCGTCTTTTATTTCTGGGTGACTATGATGACAGTCGCAGGCATAGAGTGTAAACTATATTTATATATTTACTATATACTGATACTAATACGACTCTACCCACGTCTGGGCCGCCTGTGTTCTAATACGTGATTGTGGTGAAGTGGCTTTGCAAATGTCTGACTTTTCTAAATCCTTTGTGACGATGACTTTTAGAAATTAAAGTCTCAAAACTCGTTTTGTTTAATCAGGGCCTACTTAACATATATGCTTGGGAGCTCATATATGTTGGCCCCCAGTACTCAGTAGCCTGCGTGTCAGGCTCTATGCTTGAAATAGAGCCTGCTACTGAAGTCAATAAAAAGTGGATTTATGCATACGAATCGTACGCAAAATGTGCCGTTATTGTCATATTTTTAATTAGCGCTGATAATCTAATTAACAATCGCCGTTTTGATTGGTTATTATTTTCGTGCATCCAAATCACTGTCCACTTTTTAGTGACTTCAAAGTTCAAAAGCAGGCTCTATTTCAAACATAGAGCCTGACATGCATGCTAGCCCCCCAGTGCATGAAGATCCTTTTTGTCTGAAATGTAAGCAATAACGCCAATAACATGCAGGAAATCCAGCCCTGCATGGCCAGACCAAGAACCAACCTCGTTCTCAGGCTATTCCCTGCCAGACCCCCATATACAAGGTCGCACTTTTGCAGTTCACCACCGCCCACTCCCCTCTGGACGAATTGTTAAAAAGACTCTGTGTTTAATTCATCCTGTGAATTCATATTATTTAATACTTCTTATTTGGAATATGTTTTTTTATTTTCAGTGCTATAACCTTACTTTTTATATAGTTGTTATTGTCGTTAAAATACTCTGTTTAGTATATAGTACTATGTATCTTAAACTATCACACAATTTTTACATTTTCACATTCTAGGGTATCAAAGGTTTACAAGGCAAGAAAGGTTCTGCTGGATCTGACGGACGAAAGGTATAGAGTGCAAGAGTGTTTTTTTTTTTACATTTCTTCGGATTGTTAACTCTTTTCTTTGATGTATTCTACTTCTTCGTGGATTTGGCAACGTTCTTCGTTGATTGTTAGCTTCTATTCTACTATGATCGTGTTTCTCTTCCTAATTTTAATTGTAACGTTTTGAGCAATCTGACTAAAAATCGTTTAGCGGGCGTTGCATATACTTTTCGTTGTTAATTTATTCAAATTTAAAACATATTAACTCCATCCACAATAGTCAATACCTTGATTTGGGGGTGGAAGCGGGATATTTTTACCTTTGTTTAAAATATTCATATTGTTCTCAAGACTCGAAACTCTTTTTATAAACTTTAATTTAACAAAAATAAACGAAAAGAACAATAATAAAAGTAATATTTCCTTCATAAAATCTCACGAACAACGTTTTTCGAACGTCCTTAAAACCCGTTGCCTAGCAACCCCTCATTGGACATAGGTTGCCCAAGTTTACTGTTTTCGAAATGTCAACCATAAAATGTCAACTACGAATTAACTACAAAATACAGTTATCTTAACAACATTCCCCCTCCCCGCACTGCGTAGAGTGCGTATCTAAACTAACTGTTCAACTAACACTGTTCCATCAGTTTTCTTGAAACAGCGGTACTAACTTGTGTATTGGTCGAACTAAGGTTCTGTCTCCGCACTGAACTTTTGCCACTCGCGTGTGACCGTCTTTTCCAGGATACATCTCGATGATCCGTCCTAGAGGCCATCGACCTCTTGGTAGGTTGTGATCTAACGCAAGAACAACGTCGCCCGTTTTCATGTCGTTCACTATTTCCGTCCACTTCGGACGCTTGTTTAATGTGGGAAGGTATTCTTTCAACCATCTCGTCCACACCTGATTGAGTAGTTGTTGCATTCTTCGCCACCGATTCCGTAAGTTAAAATTGGTGTAGTCAACCGATTCGGGAGCCACTTCTCCACCCACTTGCCCGTGTAGGAAATGGTTTGGTGTCAACGGTGTAACATCTTTTGGGTCTGTCGTCTGATAGGTTAAGGGACGGGAGTTGACCAGACTTTCGGCAGCAGTAAATGCGGTAATCAATTCTTCGTCTCGAATGTCACTGTTTCCCAGGACCGAATAGATAGCACGTTTCGCCGACTTGATCATCGCTTCATGTACTCCTCCGAAATGCGGAGCGGCTGGAGGGTTAAAATGCCACTTTACTTTGTTGAAGAGGTGGTTTGTCTTCTGCTGAATACGGTTTGGGTCTAATTTTCCCACCAAATCTCTCAATTCATTTACGGCTCCCACGAAATTAGTTCCATTATCACTTGTAACTTCGGACGGTACCCCTCGTCGGCTAGTGAATCGAGTGAAAGCATTTAGAAAACTCTCCGTGTCCAGTGCCCAGGCCATTTCCAAATGGATAGCTCTTGTCGCAAGACACGTGAATAAACATAACCATCGCTTTTGACGCTGTCTCCCCCGGCCTTGCACCGTGATAAAAGGTCCTGCGTAGTCCACAGCGCTCTGGTCGAATGGACGAAAGGTAAATCTAAGACGAACTTTTGGAAGTGGAGCCATTATTTGTGTCGCAAGCTTCATCTTCCTCTTTTTGCACTCGTTACATTCGTTCTCCCAGCTTCGAATCTCTTCCCGTGCTGCTATTATCCAGAATCTTTGTGACAGTTGAGCCAAAATGAAGTTCACACCCCCTGTGTGATTTGCTCTTTCATGGTAATGTTTAACAATTAGTTTGGTTACGTGGTGACCTCGGGGTAGGATTATGGGGTGCTTTACGTCATACGGAAGGTAATCTGCATACGTTAGTCTGCCATCCATACGAATGATTCCATTCTCATCAATTCGAGGTGATAGTTTAATCAAAGGACTCTTGGGTGAGATTGTTTTGTTGCTCTTTAGGGCTTGGTACTCTTCGGAAAAGATTTCTAATTGTACGTTGCGAATGATATCTTCTTCTGCGTCCTGAATTTCTTCTGGCTGTAGCGCTTTTCCAAATACCCGATTTGTTTTCTTCTGCATGTTGCACAGAACTCGGACGACTCGTGCATAAATGCAAACCAGACGCATCCACGATGAGTACCGATTGGGGCTTAATCTCCATTCGTCTGTTGTCGCGTTCGTTGCGGGATTTTGTGGTACTGGACTTCCATGACTAACTAAGACAGTAGGCTTCCTGCTTTCTTTCATTTCGGTTGGAGGGCTATTGTCAACAACTCTTGGCCACTTGTCTTCATCCTTCAACACCCAGTCAGGACCATTCCACCATAATGAATTCTCTTTGAGGTCTTCAGCGTTTATACCACGTGATATAAGATCTGCAGGATTCTGCTCCGTAGACACGTGTTGCCATTGTTGAGGATCACTAAACATCTGTATTTCACCGACTCTATTAGCCACGAACGCACGAAAGTCCTTTCCATGACCTCGTATCCACCAAAGCACATCGAGACTGTCCGAATAGAATGTTACGGTGCTCATAGGGATTTCCAAGACTCCAATAACTGTTTGTGTCAATCGTAGACCTGTTATTGCGGCCATTAACTCCAGACGCGGTACGGTGACTGGTACCAAGGGAGAAACTTTGCTCTTTGACGCCAATAGACGACATGTAGGAGGATAGGATTGCTCATACTCGAACCGGGCATACACTGCAGCACCAAATGCACTTGTTGAAGCGTCAACGAAGGTGATCAACTTGAAGGATGTAATTGTCAATGCAAGTCTAATACAACGAGAAATCTTCACTTCTGCTAAAACGGATAACTGATTAAGCCAAGACTGAATTTGGTTTGCTATGTCGTCATGTATTTCATCATCCCAATCATACCCTCGGCTCCACAACGATTGAAGCAACATCTTTCCTTTTATGATCGCCGGCGAAATCAGACCGAGAGGGTCAAAGATTGTAGCTATCTTCTTTAGGACGTTTCGTTGTGTTACCGACACGAATGCAGTCATTGGTGGTGCTGGAACGGAAAGGGTGTCTTCTTCGCTGAACCACAAAATACCTAACGTTTTAGTCACTGGTTGTTCTGCGTTTCGAATCACCAGTTCAGATGCTCGATGCTCTTCTGGAATAGCTGCCAGAACTTGCTTTGAATTAGAGACCCATTTCCTGGCTTCCATACCAGCATTCTTCCATAGCTCTTGCAGTTCCTTTTGAATAGTCTCGGCTTTGGCTTCGTCCTCGACGCTATCGATACTATCGTCCATGTATATAGACTTCAGAACTGTTTCAGCTGCTAGTGGATAACGATCTTGAAAACGACGAGCATTTTCTTGGGCGACATATTGCGCTTCCATAGGCGCCGAATTTTTCCCAAATACGACTCGTGTAAATTCATACTCATCAGGCTCCCGGTCGCTCTCGTAATCTCGCCACAAGATTCTAAAGTACGGACGATCTTTCTCTTCTATCTCGATTTGTAAATATATCTCTTTTATGTCGCAGGCAATTCCAATTGGATTTCGCCGAAAACGTACGAGGACATCGAACAGTTCGGTTTGTAACTTGGGACCAGCAGAGATTGCATCGTTCAGCGACACGCCTTCGCACTTTGCCGAGCAATCGAACACTATGCGCACTTTAGTTGTTGTTTTGTTTAACTTGACTATCGGAAAATGTGGCAGATACCAAGACGATGGAGACGACATTTCTTCGGGAGTCAACTTTCGTAAATAACCTTTTTCAATGTACGATTTTATTGTTTCTTCGTATTCTTTCCTAACAAAGTTAACTTTGTTGTTCAAACTTCTTTCGGTGCCTTCCAGACGTTCAAGGCATATTTTAAGGAATTTAAAGTGGTGGGCCAAAATTTACGGTAGGGCCCCCGCGTCCCGCCCTGCCGGCCCAGAGTATTGAATATTTGTGTAGTAATCGTGTTGAAACGCTTCCTGAACTTATTGAGTATAACAGTGTCACATTCAGCACATATTTATTATTTCTAGTTTCTACACTACAGAGGGGTACTCCGCTAACTCCGGTACTGGCGTACTGGCTACTGGGGTATCATGCCATCAAGGGCATGGGTGACAAACCCCAGTTCTGAGTTCGCCGCACTAACAGATGCAATTTATCTGACTAAAAATACAAAAAATACGGCTGAAATGATTGTAAATGAAATGCAGTGTTGAAAGTGTTCCAGTTCCACTCTGGCACTCTCGGACTCTCCACTAAAGTGACCAAACAGAAGTAATTTACAAACATCCACTTGATTCCCATAAAATGTTCTCATACAGATACAGATACATTTCTATCCTTAATTAAAAAGTTCTGTGTCAGGTTGGGAATTTCTTCTGCTTTTTGAAGCAGCCAATTGAGATTTATTTTTTTTGTTTTTGTACCAACCTTCAACTTCGTTCCATTCATCGCTGGGCGTTTCGGACGTTTCCTCACCTGATGCCAGGTCATAGACAATAGAGAAATTAATGCTATTTTCATCGTCGTCAGCAGCTGTATTTTTAGATCCATCATCTTTTGTTTCCAACACAGCGGGAGCTGAGCATGTCGATGCACTTTCACCTCTGACGAATGACTAATTTGTATTGCGGTGAAAAAAGTCAGATAAAGTGGTTTGCCCATGGTTGAAAGTTCATAGTAGATATGTTCAATTCTCGCAGTCTCTTATTTTTTTCTTTTCTCATAACCGCTCAATTCCTTTCGCTTTTTGTTTGTCGCCATATTTTTATAATGTACAAATTTATAAAAATTATCATTTTATATTTAAATAAAAATCGTGAAACATTGGTGACATGTGCCCCCAATACGTAATGTCAGCGGAACAATATGGGTGTACTTTGTGTTCTGCACGTGTATAATTTGAAACAAAACCTTTACTGCAATATAAATGCCATCAAGAAATTTTTCGTTTATAGCATGGACGGATTTTCATACTGGGGTGGTGCCAGAAATTTTAGGGGGGTGAGCCGTGAGCAGGTGACTGAAGCAACACAAAGTGTCACCAAACCCCAGTAAGGTCTATATTGTAGGGGTGGAGCACTAGAGACGCGAGGGGGAGTCTATAGAGCAGAAAACAAAGTATCCCTGGAAAAGTTTGAAAAAACTCATAATTTCTAGCTTCAAAAAAAAGTTTTTGAAGTTGTCATATCAATGGATTTGGCATGTCCGGTTGTCTGTTGAGACTTGAGAGAGTTAAAGTTAAATGAACCTGTAAAAGTGTAAACCCAATAGGCCAATACACAATATGCTTTTACTTTTATAAAGTCATTGACATTGTGTCGTTTGAATCCGAGTACATCATATTTGGGGCATAAAGATTAAATCTAGGCAAGTCTATTTCCTAAAAGAATTAAAAACTAAAAATAATATGTCCTTAAAAATTCCAAACGTTCCCTGCAAGCAAGCTATTTGCATGACAAGTAACCTGAAGTTCAGACCCTAATTTAGGGCCTCAATTTCAGGTTACATGACAAGGCACTGCAAACTCTATTCAGGGGAGATAATAGAGTTTCAAAACTTTACAATTGCTCCAATAAGCCAGTGAATGCAAGCGAAGAGCGATTAGTTTCAGAGTATTGCACTGTCTTTTTCTATTTGAGTGTACTCCTACGTTTATTTTGTATCATCACAACACTCTGCACGTTGGAGTGGACTATTTAATTATTTTTATTATGCCAAATATGGGGGTGGGGTTGAAAATTCTTTTGGAGGGGTAAAAAATTTTGTTTGGGGGTTATAGCCAATATTGGGGGGGTAGCACCCCCCCCCCCCCCCACACACACAAAATCCGTCTATGGTTTATAGACTAGCGTTTTAATAGCTTGTTTAAGGTAAATAATTTTATATTCTTGATGCTAAAATGTAAAGACTGAAGCTGCGGGGGCCCACGCAGTGGTGGGCCAATACCCTGTGAGTGGTGGGCCACTTGAGGAAATGGCCCACCAGTCTATTACTAAAAATATGCCTTGAGTCCAAGACGCAGTTACATCAGTTGAAAAGTGGTCCACTGAAAATAAACTCCAGCTAAATGCCAAGAAATGCAAAGAACTCATCATCGACTTCAAGCATTCCAAACACGTTTTCGAACCTTTGACAGTAAATGGTAACCTACTCAATGTTGTAAAACATGTAAAGATCTTAGGTCTGAATCTCTCAAATGACCTCCAGTGGAACGTCCATATTGGTGAAATAATTAGAAAAGCTAATAAGCGTATGTACCTCCTAATTTTACTAAAACGTTCTAGAGTACCAACTGCGGACATCCGAAATTTTTTCTGTACATGTATTAGACCTCTGTTGGAATACTGCTCGCAGGTTTTCCACCATTCCTTCCCGAAATATTTGTGTGATGACTTGGAAAACGTCCAAAAGAGAGCGCTGGCTATCATTTCCCCCAACCAGTCATATGAACATAACCTGCAGAAGTTTATTATTATTATTATTATTATTATTATTAAATTGAAACCACATTGCAGCCAGAAGCTGAATTGCGTGGATTACATATTATCACATGCACTACATATAAATATATCATTAATACAATATTATAAAACCCACCCACGATCAAAATTCGATTAAAATAAGCATAGAATCTATCCTACAAACTTCCTACACATAGCAGGGATGAAAGAGTTATAAAAGCGGTTCGTGCGTGTAACGTACATATTAAAATACCGATTCGTCCTGAAAGAATAATCAGTCTCGTTCTTCGGGGGCAGCAGATGATGAAGTTTAT